TCTTGCTATTTGACCTTCAGGATTCTTCATCTCCATCAGCCACCTCAAAGCTGCATGATCCGTCCTAATGAGAAATTCCCTCCCGTATAAGTATTTGTGGAAATGGTCAACAGCCTTAACAATAGCCAGCAGTTCTTTCCTGGTGACACAATAATTCCTTTCTGGTTTGGCCATCACTTTGCTGTAGTATTCTATAACCTTTTCTTGACCATCCTGTACTTGTGATAGCACGGCTCCAATTCCGATGTTACTCGCGTCTGTGTCCAAAATAAACAAGCCTCTCTCTTGTGGGAACCCCAAAATAGGACTCGAACAGAAGCCAGCCTTCAATTTCTTGAAGGATTTCTCACATTCTACAGACCAGTTGAAGTTGACTCGTTCTTCTGTCAATCTATGGAGTGGTGCCGCAATATCAGCAAATCCTTCCACAAAACGACGGTAGTAAGTGCACAATCCCAAGAAACTTCTAACTTCATGTTTGTCCTTCGGTCTTGGCCAGTCTCGAATGGCTTGAATCTTTGTCTCGTCAGTTTGTATTCCTTCTGACGTTACCGTGTGGCCCAAGAAATCTACTCGTTTCTGGAATAGTGAACATTTCTTCAGGTTCAGTTTGAGGTTGGCATTCCTGAATCGCTGGAACACTTCCCGTAAGTTCTTCAGGTGTTCCTCGAAATTCTTTCCCATGACCAAAACATCGTCCAGATATACCAGGCAAGTTTTCCAAGTCAGCCCACGCAGTACCAATTCCATCAGCCTTTCGAAGGTTGCTGGGGCATTACATAGTCCAAAAGGCATCACAGTAAACTGGTACAGTCCATTACCAGTCGTAAAAGCAGTCTTCTCCTTATCTTCTTCGTGAATGCCCACTTGCCAGTATCCGCTCTTCAAGTCCAGTGTCGAAAACCATCGGGAGCCAGCCAATGTAGTCAAAGTGTCATCAATCCTTGGTAACGGGTAGCTATCCTTCTTGGTGACGTCATTGAGCTTCCTATAATCCACACAGAATCTTGTGGATCCATCCTTCTTGGACACTAATACAACCGGTGCAGACCAAGGGCTGGATGATTCTTCAATTACCCCATCCTTCATCATTTTGTCAACCAGCTGTTCCACCTCCTGTTGCTTAGCAAATGGCATTCTTCTTGGTGGTTGCCGAATTGGGTGAGCTTTACCAGTATCTATTCTGTGCTTGACCAAGTTCGTCCGCCCTGTTGATGTTGATTCAAAGATATCACTTTCGTCTGCTATGAATTTCTTGGCAGCTTTATATTCTGTTGGTGATAAGTGGTCCAAGGAGGTTTCCAGAACTTTCAATGCACTGTCATCTCGTTCCCTCCATCTCTGCTCGTTTGTCTTATCACATTTTGCTACCCAACTGACTGGTTCACAAGCTCCGATAATATCTCCTTCCCTTACTGTTATGGTGGTAGGTAAAACATTTGCTACCCTCACAGGAATGTCTCGTTCGGTGGTCACTAAAGCTCGGGCAAGTAACAGCTTGCTGGGGGATTCCTCACATGACTGTACTAATCCAACGCAGCACCCAGGGTCCTTCTCTAATCGCGCATGGATGATCTTTTCAGTGAGTCCAGGAATTCTCACAGTCTTCGCTAGTCGTAGCCTCACAGACGTCTCCCTCTCGGCCGGTGTCGTTAGTACAAACTCTTCTCCTCCAAATTTCATGGTCTTCTGATCACTGTCGAATGAAAACCCGTAGTCGCTTATCAGATCCATGCCGAGGATAAACTCATCTTCGATATCTGCGACGTATACCATGTTCACTAAATGGAGTCTTCCAAGCGTCAACTCGATATCAGCCATCCCTCGTATAGGTGCATTTTCTCCAGTGACCGTACGAAGAACAAAGTTGGAAGTGGTTGGTTTTATACTTCCAGGCCGGAGAATGTCACTGCGTACCAGAGAAACTGATGCACCGGTATCTATGGTGCAGGTTACATCCATTTGGTTGATTTTTCCTTTGATGGTCAGGCTATCAGTTGTTCTTCTTATCCTGTTGATGTTAATGACCCTGGGGGCTTCGTTATTACTAGCCAGCATGCGCCCCGATACGCTGGCTAGTTCTAGTTTTCCTGGTATCTATCTGAGGACTCACTAGATGACCTAGTCCTCGCAGGTGAGTACGACCGTGATGGCGTCCTTGCAGGTGAAGAAGATCGTGGTGGTACTCTCACCTTACAGTCCCTTATCAGGTGTCCAGTTCTGCCACATCGATAGCAGGATCTATTTCGCTGGTTACTAGACCCACTCTTAATTTCTTTGAGTTCCTCAAGCACTTTTCTCAACATTTTCGCCACTGGGTCCACGTCTTCGGAAGGCTCCTCGATGGACACAGCTCTCACTTTTGGCCTAGAGGTGTTGAAGGCCGCTTCTACCTCCAGAGATCTTACTAGGGCTTCACCACTCCTCTCAAAGTGTGTAAGCCTCAGAGTCTTCTGTATTTCTGAGTCTCTCAGCCCGTCGATGAATACCTGCACCGCCAGTTGTTCTTTGAAGTCCTCTGGTGCCTCTGGGTAGGCTAATTGAGTCAGTCTTCTCACATCTGCTTCGAACTCCTGTAGGCTCTCTCCAGACTTCTGCACACGATTTTTCATCTGAGCCCGGTAAAGCTGTTCTCGATGTTGGTCACCATACCTGAGTTCTAGCGCAGCCACTAAATCTCCGAAGTGGTTCTGTTGGTCAACTGGGATCGACTGTAACATCCCCAAAGCTGGTCCTCTCAGAGCTACTATGAGTGCAGTAGCTTTTTCCTCGTCACTCCACCCATTTGCACTTGCTGCAGCCTCAAATTGTCGGCGATACATAGACCAAGGCGACTGTCCATCAAAAGTTGGTGGTTTCACGGAAGAACCCGATGTGGCAACTCTGTCACGGCGATCTTGACTTCGTAGCGAGGTGATCTGATTCGCTACATTTCTTTCGATTGCATCGAGCATGGAATCTATTCTTGAAACTTCCTGGTTAAGCTTGTCATCAATTCTGGTGACATCTGTCTTTAACTCATCCATTTGCTTATCAGTTTTATGCAGAATTTGTTCGAAGAAGATTTTCTGATGTTCTCGTTCTTTTTCTTGATGTTCTCGTTCTTTTTCTTGATGTTCTAGAATTTTCTGTAACTCTTCTTGACGACGTTTCTCATCTTCCTGTCGTCGTGTCTCTAGTTCTGCGAACTGATTTTTCATGAATTTTATAATGTCTTCCATCGTGTCGTATGACGTACTCCTTGTATTCACCATACGTATTCAAATGTCCTCGAAAATCCACACTTCTGACACCACTGTTACGATTTTACTCTGGGTCCGTAATAACTTAACACTCGGTATAACACTTAAAATAATTTATTCTGAACACTACTATACAATAATTACAATACTCGTACTAAACACTTCCGATTCACAACACTTCTTCGATCGTTATTATAACGCTTCCAAATAAAGACTTCTCTTCCTGTGCCTAACAACATCTATTTATATTACCTAATAAAACGTCTAGATTCCACTCGAAATATCGTGAACAGGTCGATAATCTTCTCGAGTCATCTCAATAGCCGTCGAATCACCTAATTACTATTCCAAGAAATATGGCTTGTTTACTTCCCGCCGCAGGTAGCTGGGATCGATTGCCAGGGTCGTAACATTATATTTCGTTTATTGTTCTTGGTATCGAAGAAGTGAATTTATTCTGTTTCATCTATCTTTTATAAAAATCTGTTTCAGTTTTGAAAATGTGAAATCTCCAACAAAACAACTACTCGACGAAGTCTCGATATTTCTGGTGGTGAATATACTAACATTGCATATATTATGCAGTGGACCTTGAAATTTGAGAAAAAAAAACGCCTGCAAGGCACACTTTTTGACAGGAATATTGGCCTGCTTTGGGAAATACGCCCGGCCAATACAATATTTCAAAGCGAGTTTCAAAGTGATTGGTTGAAGTTTTCAAAACTTCAAATAATCCTTACAACAATCATTCTGTGTCAACTTCGCTTGAATTCATGGAAAAGGTCAAAGTTGAGCAATTTATTAGAAAATCCAAAAGATAAGGTTGAACACTTTTGAAAAATCAGGAGCCTATATAGGCCAAACCGGTCATCCCATAATAACAAGGTTCAAAGAACACTTAGCCCATTTGAAATATGGTAGGTTAGATAAATCATAATAGAGCAAGTAATAAGGATAATGGACCTATCATTACCATGGCGGTTATTGTCTTTCATGATTGATTTAGTTTAAATCTTCTTCTGAAGATGTGATAGCACACATGTTGAGGTGTGAAACATTTGTTTGGTTAGTGGTTGAACAGTGTATAGTGAACTTGTAATTTGTAACTTCTGATATGTAGCAAAAGTCAGGAGACCACAACCCAGTAGGCCATTTTTCATATTTTTTAAAGCAAAACTCGATGCCCAAGTTGAATTCCAAAATAAATTGTCAATTAAAGTTTTTCCCATATAATGCCTACTTTATGAAAGACACAATATATTTATGATCTGATTCATTCAATTGAAAAAAACACTTATGGATGACTGACTTATCACTACTAATCATTTAGAGCTTTTTAAAACACTTGGTAGGTATAGAACTATCTCACTGTGTGCTGTGCAAACAGCTTCTCCTTATTATAGATTAAAAAGCTCTATAGTAAAATTGATGTATTTCCATGTTCAACCTCCTGCCCTACAGAATTCATACCTATTTATATACTAAACAAGTCATATTTATTGGTGAATTACACTAATGAGACTCATAAAAAGTAAAACAACAAAAAATACAAGGAGTGATACTTGGAGTGACAGTGACCATAGAATTTGTTTCACAATAAAATCATCAAAGTGTTGTTCAGTTTGGTTCTCTATATAATTATCACAGAGACTCTTAATGAATGACTGTATGGTGTCACTCTTGGTGTCACTGTAATTATTGAATTGATTATTATCATGTTATAATCAGACCAGTCTCAGTCTAGTCCTTTATTCTCACCTTTTGTAATGTGTAATATCTATTAATGGCCTCTTTGAAGTTACCCTCAAGCTTCTCAACTTGTAGTTGCTTCTGTTTTTCACCTTTTGCAACTACAATTTTCAGTTTATTGATGTCTTTTGTAGTAACTGAAGCTATCTGGTTTGTGCTGAGTTGAGTGACATGCCTATAGATGAAAATGAAGACCCCTGTTACATGGTATGTGTTCATCAACTACTTGTTGGTAAAACTAAATTATCAAATTTACTTCATGATTAAAGCCTCAACTTACACCTGGTTTCGGACTCCTTGATTATCTTTCTTTGTGCCGATAACTTTCAATGCGTTTTCCAGTGTTTTGAGACTAGAATTTATCGTGTAGATATTAGTGACAACACTATCACAATAACTGTTGAATTCCGGATTGATGTTCCCACTGAAACCTACTGCTGGTGATGAGATTGAGCCATAATTTTGGGGACGATTCATTTCGGTAGGGATTAGGTGCAACTTGGTGATACAAAATTATAGTGTATTCATTACCAGGACGATTTGTCACATCGGGAAATGAAAAATACCACTAGTTTTGAAGGAAATTAAAAACACACACAAATCAGCATCAGCTGTTTATTGTTGATTATTGACAGTATTTGACACTGGCAAACTGACACGAGTGACAAGACAAGAAAAAACATGGTAGGTCCTTTCATTTACATGAAAAGTGTAGCACTTACTTACACTTCGTGTAGTTTTCAACAATTTTTCACTGTACAAAAAGTGCATTCCACAATTTCCACACCAGTGTAGCTGAGATAGTGTAGCTCTTCCCCATCTGGTTTTGGGAGTTTCGGGCAGAAGGCAGAAGTGAAAGATACTGACAATGACAATCATGAGCAGATGAAATTGGGACAAATCACAGAACTCATATTACTTACAGATGAGTTCTGTGGGACAAATTGGACAAATGACTCGAAATATACATGTGTGGAAATCGATAATCATCACTTTCAACAGTGACAATGTCCGTTCGAATATATTACGGAACACGAAACAGCCAGATTCTCTCAAACAGATTTTAAAATCTTCTGTTTGAAAATGGGCCTAAAATATAGATTCATTTTAATCAGCTGCTGTAATAAGAAGTGAATTTCAATGAGTACCTCACAAATTTCGCTCATCTTCAAATTGATTTTCCACCCAGGCCGTTTCATATCTTCCTTCCATAAGCGAATGCTTGATATTTGATTTGGAAAATCGAATAAATGATATCCATTTGTTTCAAAATTGCCACAATTTATTATACAGCAAGTGATTTCCATAGCTGCTTTCATCTCGAAGGTATAATAATTATGAAATTTTATTTCAATTTTGACGTTTATAAAATGAATTGTCGAATTCAAAAAAAAAATTGAATGAAAAAGCGCGGGACGACTATTGGCGAGTTCACATGCCAGCTTATGCCTACAGCAGAAAGCTTGAATAAAACGGACGCAATGTTCACATGAAAAAAATGGAAAAGTGACAGTGACTGCCACATATTTGGTTAAATTTCAGATGTACGTCCTCCAGAAACCACATTTATCACATTTTTAGGAGTGTTTCTCCAGTACTGTTTCACACTCTGCATAATATGATGATATAGCACCAATATGTATTCATTTTGTCAATATTTGTGTAGTTCTGTCAAACGATCTGAGCTTTTTTCCGCAAAAGTCGGACTGAAACCGACCTTCTAGCTTATGACCTCGGTAAGCGCTTTCTGACGAATCGGCCAATGAGATGAGGATACGCTGTAAGTCAAAAGGCGAAAAGCCAGCATGTGAACACGCCATATGGTGATCTTGTCACAATGCAAGGTGTGTAACTTTATAAATCTAAACATTCAAAAACCCTAACCGTTGTCATTTCTGTGTCCGAACTCTTATCAAACTAATACCATCCAGTGACTCTACTCACAAGTATCTGTATCTGTTACAATCATATACGTATTAATAACAATACGGATCATAACGGGTGCCAGGAAGAAGCCAAAAATATGAAACAAATGAATATCCATAAGGATTTGGTGGCATGATACGCATGCGCCATGCGCTATTATAGTAGTCATCAAAGACATGCGTTTCGGTGGACAATGACGTTTACTAGCCTTTCAATCAATAAAGTAGTATGTGTCTGATCGTTTCAAAACTTTTCCTTATGGATAGTCATTTGTCTTCAAAAATCGGTTTCATGTTTCGCTATGGAAACAGATAGAGATTATCCGTATTGATTATTATAGGCTTGTTTGTTTATGCTTCGGGCGTGTTTTTCATTCCATCGAAGAAAGTGCGCACTGATAGATGCGGTTTTTTGTCGTGACGTCACCAATTGTTCTGTTGGAATTTATGCTGGAAGGATTGAACAATGGTTTATACTAGAGTCACTGGATGGTATTAGTTCTAGTTTATACAACACATTGATGGAAACACGGATTTTGTTGTGTGTCAGTCATCATGTATCTTGAGAATCAGAAAAGGCTAATTCGACTTTATTGATTAACACTGACTCTTTCTTCTAAAATCTCTCAAGAATCTCAAAAATCCCCAATATTAATTGTTTTCTATCAAATCAAATCAAAAAACAACACTAAAATGTGTCAACTGTCATGTCAATCTCCTCCAAACTGCATGATTCTCGAAGTGCGATTTAAAAGTGCGCATTTTATTACAACAGTTTGATGGATGTCCATCAACATTCCAGCGGCATTTTGCAACAGTTTGATGGTTTCCTCGATTCATGCGCATGATAAAATGTTGGAATGAAAAACGCACCCTTCCTCTATACCTGCTGAACTTCATTTTTTTATGACTTTCTCTGTTTACATGTTTACATCATGTCATGAACATAGACAACTATGGGGACGAAAAACGAAAAACGAACAGCCCCTTCAGTGAATTTTTTGAATATTGTTTGATTTCGGAATGATGAATCAGCAGATTCCACAGAACTCATACTGTAAGTAATATGAGTTCTGTGGCAGATTCGTTTTGTCAGTTGAATTCGGAATATAGCCGTCTTCCACTGTGTCATTCGTCAAGTGTCAAGTCACCTGTCACTCGTCAGCTCAAATTTCAATATTCAACTGTCACTGTCAAAAGTGTCAAAAGTGAAAACAAATGTTGAATTTGTATGTTTTTTAATTGTTCATTTTGATTTAATATCCTTAATCATCCTTTTTTCTATCTGATATTTCATTTAATCAAAGATGACTTCCTTCCCGGGAAGTATCGCCTTCGATGAATATGGGCGTCCTTTTATTATTCTCAGGGATCAAGAGAATCAGAAAAGATTGACCGGAGTCGATGCACTCAAGGTGAGGTTATATTTTGATATCTGAGAGATCATGAGATATTTATTTATGACAATGTCCTACTATTTCAGTCTCATATACTTGCTGCACGGCAAATTGCCCATACAATCAGTACATCTTTGGGGCCCAAAGGTTTGGACAAAATGATGGTCTCTCCTGATGGTGAAGTGACAGTAACAAATGATGGTGCTACTATTTTGAAAATGATGGATGTTGAACATGAAGTTGCTAAACTATTGGTGCAGTTGTCACAGTCACAAGATGATGAAATTGGCAAGTTTAATTAGCCCTCTAATATATCCTCAGCTGAGTCCATGTATTATGAAAGAATGTGGACAATAGGACAATATTGCAATTCCTACCTGTATCAGTTCTGTTCATTCCAAGAATATTCACAAACAAGTTATGTTTGTGTGATTTGTCCTGTCTCAATAAGGGGATTGTTAAGCTTAGAAAAATTGATGCCTACAGGCTTTTCTTTCATAATTCCATGTGTTCAGCAAAATGTCTTCCTAATACCTAATACCCTTTTGCTTATGGCTTATGCTCAAGAACTCTTCACCCTTTTTTGTCTTAGCTTATGCCATTATCTACAAATAACATAAGTTCATGGTTGGTATGTCCTAATTTGATATATTTCATATATTGTTCACTATATTGGACATGTAAGAAAGTAATTTGATATAAAAAGTGTCTTCAATTTTCTCTATTCAGAGACTAGATTTCTCTAAATGCCTATGATGGGTACTGAAGTGAGATATTTTGTGTCAATATAATCATACACAGAAAGTTCCAAGTAATTGTTTCATTAATGAAGATATTAGGGTGTAGCAATATTCCATCATAGTGTGGATTTATGCAGCATTAATTAACAATTATCAAATAACTATTATCAATTATTTACAATTATAAGTGATAGATAATTAACCATTTATTGAATTACAAGTAGAAGGTTGGTCAACTTTTAACTTTTTGTATTAATTGAACCAGGTTTTCTTATTGTACCCAACTAGTGGGCAGATGACCTTGTAGATGACCAAGGATTGGTCCATCCTATGATGGAAACTAACCTCAAAATGGTTTTGTGGTTCTTTTTACTTTTCATTATTCCTATTATTTTTTAGTCTTGGCTCCATTTGTGATAGCAATATCCCAAAAATGTGTCTAAAATATCATGAAAAAATTTTCTATGATTATCTTGAATGGCTTGGAAAGGACTTTTGCACCTGCATATTTTTTATTGTTAATTTGGTTTGCATAAATGGTAACATTATAGCTACTCCTTACTTGATAATTGTTAATTGTAAATTGATGCTGCATAAATCCACACTCAGATGTGAAAGCTATTATGAATTCAAATGAAATGAGCTTGAGCTACACAATAAAGGGTTTTGAAACTGTCAATTTATTATCAATTGAAATTAGTAGTTTACTGAAGTTTTCATTTTGAAAATGTCATGATTACTATTTCAAGAAGAAATGAGGAAATGAATTGTTAGTACAGGGACATAGGAACTCACAAGGGTACATACTTTGGTAATATTTATGCTGAATAATTCTTGCTGAGAAACAGAGTGAATTGATCATGGATTAATCAATTTGACTTCTGTATCTATTGGTAGAGCAACTTATAATAAATTGAATGCTGATGAACAAACTTTCTACAAATATGATTGCTATATGCAAAAATCATAATCTCAGTCATTAATAGTACAGAAAAAACAACAGCCAACACAAAAAGTCTTTAATAGATATACAGATTGTATACAGTCTCCACACAGAAAAAACATGACAACCAATACAAAAGCGGCAAAACCTTCAACAGATATACATGGTTTGTCAAAAATGATTGTGTCTCCACACAGAAGAAACATGGCTGCCTCCACACAGAAAAAACATGGCTACCTTCACACATAAAAAAACATGGATGTCAATGGTATTTCATTGGTCTCTCAGTGTAGAGAGAATGTGACTAGCCAACACAGGATGCCAATACTAAGGTCTATAGACTATTAGTAAGCCCTGAGGATGCTTTATTTTTTCCCTATTAGTGACAGTTCTGGTGAAATTATAATTCTTTGCTATTTTAAAACTGCCTAAACCATAGAGGAGAATAAACTTGTTTGGTATTCTGTGATCT